GGGAGGGAAGGAAGGGAGGGAGGGAAGGAAGGGAGGGAGGGAGGGAGGGAGGAAGGAAGGAAGGAAGGAGGGAAAGAAAGAAAGAAAAAACTGAAAGTCCAGGCGCAGTAGCTCATGCTCGTAATCCCAGCACTTTGGGAGGCCAAGGCAGGTGGATCACCTGAGGTCAGGAGTTCGAGACAAGCCTGACCAACAAGGAGAAACCCTGTCTCTACTAAAAATACAAAATTAGCTGGGCATGGTGGCGTATGCCTGTAATCCCAACTACTCGGGAGGCTGAGGCAGGAGAATCGCTTGGACTGGGGAGGTGGTGGTTGTGGTGGGCCGAGATTGTGCCATTGCACTCTAGCCTGGGCAACAGGAGTGAAACTCCGTCTAAAAAAAAAGAAAAAAAAAAAGAAAAAGAAAGAAAAGAAAAGAAAAGCTCTGCATGAGAGCCAGTGATGTCTCAGAGTGGAAAGGAAGCCAGGTCAACATGTTGCCCTGCCCACAAGCCCTTAGGTTGACATTCAGAGCCAACCTCCCCAGCAGCCTCTTTTCCACCCTAAGGTTTGTCTCAGGGATCAGGGAGTGGAAACTCTCCACGTGCCTGCATGCTTCCATCTGAACCACTATTGTAGGCTCTTCTACTATTCAAAGCCCCTAAGGATGTAACATTTGGAGAAAAGATGCTAAAAAGTCCCGGTACTCAGAGACAATGTTCTCCAATTGTTTGAATGGGAGCATCAAATGAGTCCCCAGCCCTGAAGGTTGGGTTGGTCTGGGGACGAAAACTAATTGTCCTTTCAGTTCAGTTATATCATCATTCCCAAGGCAGACGTTTGTTCGGAAGATTCTTTTCTAGCTCATACAGAAAATGACACTTTATCCTATGAGAGCCCCAAAGGCAGAGGACATGGGATGTGGTATCAGGAACCTGGGAGACATGCTTTTGCAATGGGGTACACAGCACTTAAGTGAGGGAAGCCACCAGGAAGTGGTACTGGCCTTGGAATTCCCTTCATGTCACACAGGGACAGAGAGGAACTAACATTTCTAAGGACTTATTCTATACCAGGGGCTGTACATTCTATATCTTATATCTGTTACGAACTGTTTTTTCATAAGGCAGGTGATTTCTTTTCTTTTTTCTTTTTATTTTTTGAGACAGTCTTGCTCTGTCACCCGGACTGGAGTCTAGTGGTGTCATCTCGGCTCACTGCAACCTCTGCCTTCCCAAGCGATCCTCCTGCCTCAGCCTCCGGAGTAGCTGGGATTACTGGCACGCACCACCCCGCCCAGCTAATTTTTATATTTTCGGTAGAGACAGACTTTCACCATGTTGCTCAGGCTGGTCTCCAACTCCTGTGCTCGACTGATCTGCCCACCTAAGCCTCCCAAAGTGCTAGGATTATAGGCGTGGATCACCATGCCCTGCCTGCTTTTCATATATATATACATATATATATATATATATAGAGAGAGAGAGAGAGAGAGAGAGAGTCTTGCTCTTGTGCCCAGACTGGAGTGAAATGGTTTGATCTTGGCTCACTGCCAACTTCTGCCCCCGAGTTCAAGCAATTCTTCTGCCTCAGCTTCCCAAGTAGTTGGGATATCAGGCATGCACCACCATGCCTGGCTAATTTTTGTATTTTGAGTAGAGACAGGGTTTCGTCATGTTGGCCAGGCTGGTCTCGAACTCCTGACCTCAGGTGACCCACCCGCCTCAGCCTCCCAAAGTGCTAGGATTACAGGCATGAGCCACCATACCTGGCCTTTTCATATGTGATATATATATATATACATATATATATATATTTTTTTTTTTTTTTCCTTTTCTTTTTGAGATGGAGTTTCACTCTTGTTGCCAGGCTGGAGTGCAATGGTGCAATCTCAGGTCACCACAACCTCCCCTGGGTTAGGGCAATTCTCCTGCCTCAGCCTCTCAAGTAACTGGGGTTACAGGCATGCACCACCATGCCTGACTGATTTTTTATATTTTTAGTAGAGATGGGGTTTCTCCATGTTGGTCAGGCTGGTCTTGAACTCCAAAACCTCAGGTGATCCACCCGCCTCAGCCTCCCAAAGTGCTGGGATTATAGGCGTGAGCCACCGCACAGGGCCTCTTTTCATATATTTTTAACTAAATTAATAAAACAGGCTGGGGCAGTGGCTCATGCCTGTAATTCCAACACTTTGGGAGGCCAAGGTAGGAGATCACTTGAGCTCAGGAGTTCAAGACCAGCCTGGGCAACATAGTGAAACCTCATTTACCAAAAACTACAGAAATTAGCCAGGTGTGGTGGCATGTGACTGTAGTCCCAGCTATCCCAGAGGCTGAGGTGGGTGGATTGCTTAAGTCCATGAGGTCAAGGCTGCAGTAAACGGTGATTATGCCACTGCATTCCAGCCTGGGGGTGCTGAGCAAGACTTTGTCTCAAAAAACTAAAAACTAGCCGGACGTAATGGCTCATGCCTGTAATCCTAGCACTTTGGGAGGCCGAGGAGGGCGGATCACATGAGATCAGGAGTTCGAGACCAGCCCGGCCAACATGGCAAACCCTGTGTCTACTAAAAATACAAAAAATAGCTGGATGTGGTGGTGCGTGCCAGTAATCCCAGCTACACAGGAGGCTAAGCCAGGGGAATCGCTTGAACCCGGGAGGCGGAGGTTGCAGTGAGCCGAGATGGTGCCTCTGCCCTCCAGCCTGGGCAACAGAGCGAGACCTTGTCTCAAAAACACAAACAAAACCCCCAAAAAACTAAAAAGTAAACAAATAAATAAAACGAAATGTGGAAGCAATAGCAAAGGCTTGACCTTGCTCCAAAATCACACGATTTTTTTTAAGCTACATTCTTATAAACTTCTTCCAAATGAGATAAACTTCTTCCAAACTTCTTCCAAAAAGATAAACTTCTGCTGAGAGGGGCATGGTCATGACTTACAGTTTGGGCAGGACAAAGTTTTTTCCATCACACACACACACTCACCCTCACACATACAGTGTTATTTCTACTAAATTGTACTTGATTCTTCTCCAGCGGCTCTGTCTGGAGTTTATTTAATGTTACTAGTTTGCCAATGAATAGAATAAGACAATAAGCAATTTTGCTTTTATTTCTTTATTTTAAAAAACTCCTTGGTTAGTCTTATGAGAAAACAAAGTGAAGAATAAAGGTAACTACTGCATGTACCACAGTAGCAAGAGGAAAAAGAGTGTCAATTAATCTAATTGATATTCAGAGGATTGAGTGGCTCTTAGTGATGGAGTTGGGATTTTGGCACGTGTACATTTGTTGGATTTTGCTACCTGGCATCTGTATCCCATTCGTCTGGTAGCAGGATCCCATTTTTGCATTGGGGCCATTATCCTCCAACATTGGGTAGTCTATGGTACTATTCTTCAAGGGACCCTCCCCTTCCTTAGAGGAGTGTGAGCACCTGACCCACCCTAAGCCTATTGGAGTTCTCTCTCTTGACCCAAAGTAGAAGCATTGACTATTGGTGTCTGCTGCCTGGACGCTGGAACTATCCTGGCTTCTGTCCTTTCCAAAGACCACCTGTTCAGCTTTTCCTTCAGTTCTGTAAATATCCTTTCAATAATTTACTATTACTTATTAATCTGTTGCTTCTCTACAACCGGCTGCCTCCTCAGCTCCATGACTCCCAGCCTGGAGTCATAGAACAAAAGCTGAATGTGGGCACAGAAGTTTCAGCCACTGGGTGCCTATATGGTTTTGAGCTCATTATTTGAAATTCAAGCTCATTACCTGAAACAGGAAGAACACCTCCTCATAAGGCTGATATGTGAATTCAATTAGATGAAATATGTCCTCTGAGATCAAGGACTTTGATTTAGTCTCTGCTGAATCCACAGTGCCTATCACAGAACACAGAGCAGAGCTTCAATAACTATGTTGGTTTAATGGCAACTGCTTCTGAAAACACTTAGTTAACTCTAGTATGTAACATGAATTGGTGTGTCCATTATGTCCAGGATGAAGACAGCCAATTTCGATTCTCCTCTCCTTAAAGTTTTGCTTGCTTTCTCTTTCTTTTCTTGAATCTTCACACTAAATCTACTTTTTTAATTTTTTTTTTAAAGAGATAGGGTCTCACTCTGTCACCCAGGATGGAGTGCAGTAGTGCAATCATAGCTCACTGCAATCTCTAACTCCTGTTCTCAAGCAATCCTCCTGCCTCAGCCTCACAAGTAGTTGGGACCACAGGCATGGGCCACCATGCTTAGCTTTTTTTTTTTTTTTTTTTTGTAGAGATGGGGTCTCCCTATGTTGCCCAGGCTAGTCTCAAACTCCTGCACTCAAGATCCTCTGGCCTCTGCCTTCCAAAGGGATTACAGGCATGAGCCACCACCCTGGGCCTCTGACTACTTTATTTTAAAGCTCAGTCAATTTATATATTTTTTTTATTATTATTTTTTATTTTTATTTTTTTGAGACAGAGTCTCACTGTCACCCAGGCTGGAGTGCAGTGGCCATCTCGGCTCATTACAATCTCCACCTCCCAGGTTCAAGCGATTCTCCTGACTCAGCCACCCTAGTAGCTGGGATTATAGGCAGGCACCACCACGCCCAGCTAATTTTTGTATTCTTAGTAGAGATGGGTTTTTGCAATGTTGGCCAGGCTGGTCTCGAACTCCTGGCCTCAAGGGATCTTCCTGCCTCGGCCTCCCAAAGTTCTGGGATCCCAGGTGTCAGCCACCTCGCCCGGCTGCCTGATATCTTAAAATCAGAAAAGCCACCCTTCTTAAGTGGAGGGTAGGTGGGCCCATATTTACAGGAATGGAAGAAAGGAGAATGTTCCTTCTCTCTTTTGTCCACGTTCAGCAGCTCTGAAATTAATGCCAAAGCAAACAAACTCCCGCCCCACTGTCCCCTGCCGCCCTCGCCTTATGCTGTTGAACATAAGACTTTGCTGTTGAACACGAAGTAAACGTTTCCCAGAAAGCCCAGTTTAAGGAAACAATTCAGGGCGAAGTGAGGGCACAAAGGTAGAGAAATAAAGGGAAATGATATCTCTTTAAAGGACAGAGATCCCTGAATAGCACTGGGGGCTGTTACAGCCCATGAGGACATCTCCAAGTCCTTCTATATAACACTAGGAACCCCTGTGCCATATACAGACACTGTTCTCAGAGATTAGCAGGGGGAAAGAGGATAATGACACAGTTATGTCCTTCGGAATGATTCCAGATGCTTCTGAGTCTGTGAGGCCCCTGTGTCCGTCATCAGCAAAACAAGTGTGGGAGAAGTTTGAGGAGTTACGAGTTTAAGCCTGGGAATCTTAAACCACAGAGCAGAGGATTTTGGGCTGAAGAAACAGACCCTCCGCAGCTTCAGCGCGAAGAGGGCGGCGGGGGCCGGCGGTGGTGGGGGTGGAACCTCGCAGCCTTGGGAAGCGGGAGTAAGCCGCAGAGGCTGCGCGGGGGTTTGAGCGGAGCGTGAACAGCTCCTTCCCTTGATCATGCTGCCCTCCGGAGGTCAGTGTAGGCATCGCTGCTCCCTTTCACGCTAGTCTGTCTCTTCATCGTCTGTTCTGGATCACCCTGTCCAGAGAGACCGTTGGGTCAGAAGGTTCCAGTGGACCCCCGGGGCGAGCTTAATGTCCCTGAAAACTGCGTGCTTCAGTATCACTTGAATGCCCACCGGGTTCCGGAATCTCGAGCCTCCGGAGCTGTCCCTTTGCCCCACGGCTCACATTCCGCGCGTCTGCCCCTCAGCGACTTCAACAACACGCGCTTTTCGGTCAGCTCTGAGGATTTGGGTTCTGCGACGGACAGGGGAAGGAAAGAATGAAGGCTGTGAAGAACCGTGGTGGCTGCCTGCACAGCCCTCCCCGCATGCGAGCATTAGTTGACTAAAGCCGTCTGTCTCGACAGTCTCCCCTGAGGGGTATCTGGGGACCCTTTCTTTGGGAACCCACGCTCTTTGTCAGAGTAGCTAAATGCCTCTCCTGTCCCAAATCTCATACCCTTGGCCTTTCTCCCGTCCTCGCGCTTAGGCTGGAGTCAGGTCAAATGCCAGAACATCTGGATGCCCCAAGAGTGACACCTGGGAGTGGGTAGCCAAGAAAGCAGCAGCGGGAAGGGAAAGTGGAGGAGCAGAGGATTCCCGGGGCTGGCGTCTGGGGTGAGCTCGCGGCCCCTCAGAGCCTGGCACACCGCCGCCTGGCATCCAGCAGGTGTGAGGGAACGCATAGCGCAGTGAGTCAGGCGGTGTAAACCCTGAATAACGCGGAGCGGGTGAGCGGAGCAAGTGCGAGGTCACTTAAGGACGCAGTTCTGGCCCCGCCCTCAAGACACGCCTGGCCAATCAGAAATCGCTGATTCTCCAATCCTCTCCGCCTCTGCTCGCCCTCCTCTGCACTTCGGTCTCAGGCGTAAACACTTTCAAAGTCGCTAGGCCAAAGCGCTGAGATACGGCTTCCCAAGCCAATCAGAGAGCGGCTCTCAGATATGGGGCGGAACCCTGAAAAGGCGAGAGCTGAGATCCCGCTCCTTTCTGCCTTACCACGCCACGTCCCGCGTCCGCCAATTAGGAGAGCCCGGAGCTGGACCCGCTCTCAGCCTCAGCACGCAGCAGCCTCCGCTCCGCGGCGGGTGTGCTCGGCAGTCAGACTCACTCAAGACACCTCCGGTCGCCGGCGGTCTAGACCCGCATCCGGAGGGCCTAAGGCGGGGAGTAGAATCCGCTTTCTTTCCACCACTCTCCAGGGACCTGGGAAGGGAATGTTTAGGCCGTGGGGGTGGAGGAGACAGGAAACATCCCCAAATAACCATTTTTCCTCAACTGCACCTTTCCTCTTAGGCCTTAAAGGGGTCCCTGTGTCTCTCCAGTCTAGAGCCTAAGGTCAAACGAAGCGTATAGGCATGGGCAGCAGGAAGGCTCCAAGTCAAACAAATAGATGACGTGGATGAATTTTGCCTCGTCTACCCCTGCCCCAGCGATGTGGGTGTGGGTTGGTTGCTGCAGCCCAGGAGGCAAGGGACTGTGACAGCCACAACCAGAGGAGCTACGGAGCTGCTACAGAGGAGGGATTCCAGAGTCAGCTTGGGCTTGTCCCAAGGGAGCCCTCGAGATAGTGTCTGGGGCTGCGCGGCCTGGTTCTCAGCCCTTGCAGCATCTACTTTAGCCAGGGGCCACCTTCCTCCTCTGGCCTGGAAGTAGCTAGAGGTTAGAGGTTACACCCGCCATAAGGGATATAAGCCCAGGAAGCAGTCAGAAAGGAAAGGTCACTCTAGAGATGGGGCCACCTTAAGGCCTTCAGGAGGAAGGAGAAAGGAAATGGGAGAAGTGTCATGTCATATTAAATATTTATTTTCTGCATACTGACTTGGGATTAATTCTTGAGCCAGGAGGGGAGGGGTTAGTGTTCAAATTGCTCAGATCTCAGGTCAAAAAACTACAGAAATCACTTTGAAAAACACAATGACAGAGGCAGTCACCCCTTGCCAGCAATTCCAAGAGCTGAGGCTTCATGCCTCAAGACATGGTGACTAGTTGAGTGAACCAGAGATTGACGCAGTGACGGTTTTTACAGGGGAAGAAACAAGCCTTGGGTGTATGGGAGCAGGAAAGGAGGGTGACAGACTGGAGAAATGATAAAGGCCATTTTGGAAGCCCACAGGGAAGTGGTCTTGGGAAACCTGAAGACACTGGGAAATTTAGACGGCCAAGGAGATCCAGCTTATCCTGTTGGGCAAGGTGCTGGGAGGGAAGGCAGGTAAGCCATATTAAGGGCCTGGGAGGCAAGGGAAAAACTGGAAAGGGGACCCCCAGGTGAAGAAGGGTATGGAATGGGGTGCAGAAGTCCATGGAGATGACTGGCAGATCTCAGGGTGGTTTCCGGCACATCAGAAGTTGGGCTTATGCTTCTTGAGCTCCACCATAAGGTGGTGAATGTTGATGAGCTCAGCCCGGGCAGGCAGGGCTCGGAGCTGCGGCTGGGACAGCACCCGGTGGAAGCGATGATAGACCTGGATCAGCTGGGTCAGCGCTCCCTGGTCAAAGAAAGTCATTGAGGGATCAAACTGTAAAGTGGTGCTAATAGTGATGATTAAGAATCAGGTTAGGCAGCCAGGCGCAGTGGCTCACACTTGTAATCCCAGCACTGTGGGAGGCCATGGCGGGCAGATCACGAGGTCAGGAATTCAAGACCAGCCTGGCCAACACAGTGAAACCCCATCTCTACTAAAAAATACAAAAATTAGCTGGGTGTGGTGGCAGGTGCCTGTAATCCCAGCTAATTGGGAGGCTGAGGCAGGAAAATCACTTGAACCTGGGAGGTGGAGGTGGAGGTGGAGGTGAGCCCAGATCGTGCCACTGCACTCCAGCCTGGACAACATAGCTAGACTCTCTCAAAAAAAAAAAAAAAGAATCAGGTTAGGGCTCATCCAGCACTTTGGGCACAGCTAGTAACTGAAGACCAAGGGTAACTTAGATGATGCTGAGCCCAGCAAAATGATGGGAGAAAATAATAAATGATGGGGTAACTTAGATGATGCTGAGCCCAGCAAAATGATGGGAGAAAATAATAAATGATGGGGTAACTTAGATGATGCTGAGCCCAGCAAAATGATGGGAGAAAATAATAAATGATGGGGTATCTGAGTGGGGGCTGGGACTTGCAGGTCACCTGAATGATACTGGTGCCATTTCTGAAGTTGGTGAAACTCCGCATTACATCCTGACTCAGAGATTCCACTGAGGATTTCCAGGAACTACCAAAGCCACGGATCAGCTGAGTTACCCGGGCTAACAGCAGGAGGAAAGAGAGTGTCAGAGACGGATCTGGCTGATCTTCAACTCCACTAAGTTCTCCCCAAGGTATAGCCATCCTTACCATCAAACCCTCTTTTCTGGTATTCTCTCAATCCAGTCTTTCATACTCTATTCCCCCACCATGTAATCTGCATCCTTTCATTTTTCTTTTCCACTTCCCTTACCACTGATCCCATCATTACCGCATTTTCCTCATACCTTCTTCCCCTCGAAGTCGCTCAGCCTGTCCACGCTCAATCAAAGCCTCAGCCTCCTTCACAAATGCCACTAAACCCCCAAAAGGGGGAGACAGCAACTCTTCAATGAATTCCTGGAAAGACAAACACATATACACAGGTGTCCTGGTGTCAGCAGATTTGCCCAATTCTGGCATCATGACTAATGTAGATCCGTGTGAATGGCATCTTTCAGCTGCTGCAGAAGTTAAGGAAAATTCTCTATGGAGAAAAATATCCTCAATCCTAATTTTGGCCCATACAATTCCCCTGGTTAAGATCAAACAATGAACTCAAAGATAACTAGACACAAAAGAAGGGCAGCTACCAAGAGAGTCAGCAGACACAATAAGCAATAGCTGCTGACCTTAGTACTATCAGATACAGATAGCAGTTGCACTGTTTGCAATGTCAGAAGTTAAGGATAGGCCAGGCACGGTGGCTCACACCTGTAATCCCAGCACTTTCGGAGGCTGAGGCGGGCAGATCACCTGAGGTCAGGAGTTCAAGACTAGCCTGGCCAACATGATGAAACCCCGTCTCTACTAAAAATACAAAAATTAGCTGGGCATGGTGGTGGGTGCCTATAATCCCAGCTACTCGGGAGACTGAGGCAGGAGAACCGCTTGAACTCAGGAGGCGGAGGTTGCAGTAAGCTGAGATCGCGCCACTGCACTCCAGCCTGGATGAAAGAGCAAGACTCTGTCTCAAAAAAAAAAAAAAAAAAAAAGAAAAGAAAAAGTTAAGGATGTAAAAATGACCAATTAGTAAGAACTATTAGGAATGAACAGACTTGAAAAAAGGAAATTTTTAGAAAGTCAACAGATTAACAAGAATTATACAATGAACTAGAATTTATAACTGAAGAAAGGACTCAAAATGTAGCACAGACAGAAGATAGAAAATTCTGAAATAGTAGGAGATACAGAAATCTAATTAATGTATCTAGGCACTGAAATTGATGGCTACTAACATCACAAAGAGAGCCAAGAAGACATTATGCGCTTCCTGATGGAAATGCATACCACTACCTCTCAAATATCCCTGTAGAAAAAAAAAACTAATTTAAATCTGATCAAACCTTTCCATCTAATTACACATTTATGAGAAACACACCAGACAGAGGAACAGTTTGGCCACACCATGGAATGCAGTCAGCAAAATCTAAACTGTACATCATTCTAGATGACAAATGACTCAGTAACTCAGTTTCTTCCACAAATAAATTGCAGAAGAGAGGAGGTTAAGATGGAAGGGAAATCTATAGATTAAAAAAAGACACATATATGGACTTTATATGGATCCTGATTTGAACCATAAAAATCATTTATGAAGGCCGGGCGCAGTGGCTCATGCCTGTAATCCCAGCATTTTGGGAGGCCGAGGTGAGTAGATCACCTGAGGTCAGGAGTTTGAGACCAGCCTGGCCAACATGGTGAAATCCTGTCTCTACTAAAAATACAAAAAAGGGCGTGGTGATGGATGCCTATAATCCCAGCTACTTGGGAGACTGAGGCAGAAGAATTGCTTGAACCCAGGAGGCAGGCAGATGTTGCAGTGTGCTGAGATCGGGCCATTGCACTCCAACCTGGGGGCAACAAGAGTGCAACTCTGTCTCAAAAAAAAAAAAAAAAAAAAAAAAAAATCATTTATGAAATAACTGGGGAAATCTGAATAGTAGTTATTTTAAATAAGATAATATTTTTAAGTGTGATAATGTAGTTTTTAAAACCATTCTGTTACCAGGTGTGGTGGCACACACCTGTAGTCCCAGTTACTTAGGAGGCTGAGGTGGGAGGATCACTTGAGCCCAGGAGTTCGAGGCTACAGGGAGCTATATCATGCCACTGCACTCCAGCCTGGGCACTATAGCAAGGCCCTATCTCAAAACTAATTTTCTTAATAAAAAAGAAAAACATTCTGATACAGATGAAGTGATAATAATGTATAAGATTTAATCCAAAGTAACCGGGGGACACAGAAGGAGGATAAGCAATAGGTGTTGATATAGATGAAACAAAACTGTCCATGAATTGTTATACACAGAATATCACTGATGGTGCCGGGGGGTTCACTATGCTTTTCTAATAGCATATTGAAATTTCCCATAGCCGGGCACGGTGGCTCAAGCCTGTAATCCCAGGACTTTGGGAGGCCAAGACGGGCAGATCACAAGGTCAGGAGATCGAGACCATCCTGGCTAACACGGTGAAACCCCGTCTCTACTAAAAAAAATACAAAAAACTAGCCGGGTGAGGTGGCAGGCACCTGTAGTCCCAGCTACTCGGGAGGCTGAGGCAGGAGAATGGCGTAAGCCCGGGAGGCGGAGCTTGCAGTGAGCTGAGACAGCCTGGGCGACAGAGCGAGACTCCGTCTCAAAAAAAAAAAAAAATTTCCCATAATAAAACGTTAATTTTTGTTTAATGTAAAAGGGAGATTCAAACAAAAAGAAACCATAAAAACAACCCAGACAATAAGATCTGGTAAGAAGAAAGTGAAATTATTATTCCATTTAAAAATAAATTATTAATACAAAAATTAGCCAGGTGTGGTAGTGTATGACTGTAATCCCAGCTACTTAGGGAGGCTGAGGCAGGAGAATCACTTGAACCGGGAGGCGGAGGTTGCAGTGAGCTGAGATCATGTCACTGCACTCCAGCCTGGGCGACAGAGCAGCAACTTGTCTCAAAAAAAAAAAAAAAAAAAAAAAAAAAAAAATATATATATATATATATATATATATATAATTGCATCTTTTCTATTCTTCCCTCAAAATATTCACTTATATACACTGATGGTGTCAGATAACTAATGTGAGACTAGGGAGATATGCTGCAAGGAAGGATCTTTCTATAATCAAGGCATCATTGTGATGTGATTTTGGACAGAGATTAAATAACCAAATTCAACCTACTACAGTTGTCTAAATGCAATCTCACACACACATATACAACAACAGTGCAGCAGTGTAGTGTGGGGCACAGGGAGTGGACTGCCGAAGAAAAGTTGAACTAACAGTGATAACCCCTGCTATGCAGTAGCCATAAATTACATGTGTTGTAAGCATGATATATACACCTGATTTTGAAGACTTCATATGGGAAAAAATTTTAAGTATATCTTTTTTTTTTTTTTTTTTTTGAAACAGGGTCTTGCTTTGTCACCCAGGCTGGAGTGCAGTGGCACAATCACAGGTCACTACAACCTCGACTTTCCTGGTTCAGTGATTATCCCACCTCAGCCTCCTGAGTAGCTGGGACTAACAGGCATGTGCCAACACGCCCCACTAATTTTTTTTGTATTTTTTGTAGAGATGGGGTTTCACCATGTTGTCCAGGCTGGTCTCAAACTCCTGGGCTCAAGCGATCCTCCCTGCCTTGGCCTGTGCTGGGATTACAGGTGTGAGCCACCGTGCTGGCCTCAGTACTATTTTTTATTGATTATATGTTGAAATAATAGTATTTTGGATGTAGTGTTTTAAAAAATTATTTCATCTGTTTCTCCTTTCTAATGTAGCTTCTAGAAAAGTTAAAATTATTTAAGTGGCTCACATTTGTTTCTCCTTACTTTTTAATGTAGCTTCTAGAAAATTTAAAATTATTTACGTAGCTTCTAGAAAATTTAAAATTATTTACGTGGCTCACATTTGTGGCATGCATTATATTCCTATGGGAGTACTGGTCTCGACTTGGATGAACTTTAAGCTTTCTATTACACAAAAGACAACACATTGATAGCAGAGGAGTGACCAGAGGGAAACAGTGCACTGGGCTTTAACAATCTTTCCTACATAGTATCAAGCAGCAGCCAACCAAAAAAGGACTAAAAGCATTGATGGCAGCTGGCCAGTCTCTCTCTATACCTGGCAAATCTAGTGACAAATCCCAGCTGCTCTCAGCAGAAACAACTGGTTTAAGTGCATCTTTGTGGTGCCTTAATCTCCTGCAATTATCCCGCCTCAGCCTCCCAAGCAGCTAGAACTACAGGTGCATGCCACTATGCCTGGCTATTTTTCTTTTTTTTTTTTTTTTTAAAGAAATGGGATCTCAGCCGGGCATGGTGGCTCACACCTGTAATCCCAGCACTTTGGGAGGCAGAGGCGGGTGGATCACGAGGTCAGGAGATCAAGACCATACTGGCTAACATGGTGAAACCCTGTTTCTACTAAAAATACAAAAAATTAGCCAGGCATGGTGATGGGCACCTGTAGTCCCAGCTACTTGGGAGGCTGAGGCAGGAGAATGGCGTGAACCCAGGAGGCAGAGCTTGCAGTGAGCCGAGATCGCGCCACTGCACCACTCCAGCCTGGGAAACAGAGTGAGACTCTGTCTCAAAAAAAAAAAAAGAAAGAAAGAAATGGGGTCTCACTATGTTGCCCAGGCTGATCCCCTCAAACTCCTGGGCTCAAGAGATTCTCCTATCTCAGCCTCCCAAAGTGCTGGGATTACAGGCATGAGCCACGGCGCCAGCAACAATTCTTTCAAAATCAGGAATAGGAAAAGGGTTCTCACTATCACCTTTCTATTCAGCTTCTAAACATCATCCTGGGAGTGTTAGCCAATAGAATAAGAAATCAAAAACATAAGACATTAAAGACAAAAGATTAGAAAATATTTATTCCTAGTAGGACTAAACATACATATTATGCCCAACTAAAAATATGGCAAATGACTTACAGTGTCTTTGTGCTGAAAATTTAAAAAGGTTATCAAAAGGCATTAAAAGATTATCTTAAAAATTGGAGAAGGAGGCCAGGTAGAGTGGCTCAGGTCTGTAATCCCAGCATAGTGAGACACTATAAAAAATTAAATTTTTATATTTTGTATTCTCACAGAAAATTTAAAAAAAATTTTTTTAATTTAAAAATTTTTTTAAAAAAGGCAAGTGTGGTGCTGTGTGCCTCTAGTCCTAACTACTCAGTAGGCTGAGATAGGAGGAGCTCTTGAGCCCAGGAGTTCAAGGCTGCAGTGAGCTATGATTGTGCCACTGCACTCCAACCTGTCTCAAAAAAAAAAAAAAAAAAAAAATCATAAAGTATCAATTCTTCCAAATTAATCTATAAACAATGTAATTCTAATCAAAATCATTAAAGACT